GAATTGTAATTATGTTTTATTTTACTTCCTCCGTTCTTTATTATTTGCAACATTCCTATTTTCACGTTGCCAATGTACAACTTTGATCGTCATTATATTTAATTCTCTATTAGTAAAAACTATGGAGTATGTAAAATCAAATTATAAAAATTTGTAATGAAAGAATTCAACAATAACTTTCAAAAAATATAATTCTCTTACATGAACAAACAAAATATAGTTAAAGCAGAATGTGTGAATGATAAAAAATTTCCATGTTGCAACTATAAGAAACGGAGGATACTATGGAGTATATCAAAGTGATCGTAGAAGTGTACTCGTAGCAAATTTAGTGACTTGTTTGTCCACAAATATTTATTTGAGACATTTTCCTTATAGTCACACGGATATATATAATGTTAAACATAAATATAGTCACTAAAAATTATTAGGTTATATTTTTTATCTATTATATTTATTTTAGTCATATATTAAAAATTATTTATTTATTTAATACGGAATAATCCGTATCGAGGTTGGAAAAGAAGAAGGTTGTTTAAAAACATTTCAGTTTTTTTTAGAATTTTATATATGCAATATAGGTGTCATATGAAAGATCGTAAAATAATATGAGTTTTGATATACTTTTTATAAAAATTAGAAAAACGATGAAAAAGTTAAAACACTGAATAAAATGGTGTTTTTGTATTTATATGACCCATCAATCGATACCACGTATGTTTCCTTTCTTTTCTTGGTATATAAATGATTAAATGCTTCCCTTCCTTTGAATTTGGTTGTTCGTTATTATCCTTCAATTTGTCATGTGTCAATTGTAGAGTAGAGGAGTGAATTGTGAGGAGAATGACACATAGATTTTATCAAAGGTAAAATTGTATTGTTATGAGATGTTTCTTTTCTTATATATAATAAATAGATTACAATAACTAAAAATTAATAAGCCATATTTGTATCGAATAACCTTATGTTGGTTATATATTATAAATTATTTATTCATTTAATACGGAATAATTGATATCGTGATTCGAAAATAGGAAGGTTTAATAAACCTTCATACAACAACAATAACATGCAAGCCTTAATCCCAAAAGAATTTGGGGTTGCCTAACATGAATCGATCCATGAATCATATATAATAAACCTTCATAATTTTTTAAAAATTTATATAATAAATATTGGTGTCATATGAAAGATCGTAAAAAATTATGAATTTTGATATATTTTTTGTAACAATTAAAGTAGAAATTAAAAAGTTATACCACTTTGAAAAAAAGAGTATTTTTATACAATTGGCACCAAGAATTTAATCTCTACTCAACCTACCAATGCTATTGCTATTATTACGTTAAGTAGTTAGTACTCTGGTATTTTTTTATCCTTTTTCCAAATACAAAATCTAGAATTTGACACATGGCATTTTTATAGCAAAGGAGCAAATTGTGGGGAGATGGACACATAGGATTAATGAAGGGCATAATTGTATTTTAATGAGCTATTTGTTTTCTTATATATAAATAGATAACTGTAGATCATCTCATCCCGGACGTGTATAAATTAGGTGCGTACATCTGTACGTATGCTACAGATATTATGCCTATGCATGACGTAAGTGCGATGCCTGATACCGGATATGTAGTGATACCGCCTCAAAGTGCTCGACACAGTCAAACCGGTAGGCCTCAAAGGACACGATTTACAAATGAAATGGATATGCGTCCGAGTAGGAGAGCACAAGAGTAAAAATTTATATGTATTTTGTATCTCTTTTCAATGAATAAAAATGTGTATTTCTTTGTCATGTTGTTTTTCAAGAAGAAATGAGTAATGAAATATTTATATTATTTATTTTTGCGGGAACATTGAATAAATTCGTAATACAATATAATTAAATATGTATATTCACTAATATACAAATATTTATTTTTTACTTAACAATTGATTATTTTTCACTTAATAAAATAATACACATCTTTCCAATTACAAATATCACTAAATTATTTATTCATTTTTGTACCCCAATTAAAACACCCAAAACACTTCATCAAACACACCTTATTATTTATCCCACTTATAAATTTATATTGAAATAAAAATATATCTCTGAGTACAAAAGTTATTGCAACCAAAGATTAATCGGGTCAACTTTTACTCTTTCAAATCTTTTTTATTGTTTTCAAGTGTGAAAAAAATAATAGTTCATTTATCCCACAAACAAATTTTCATTTAATCACTTGTGTTTTCCTATTTAAAAATAATTCCACAAAACCTTTAAACAAACCCACTCACAACTAGTTGGTAGGTACGTAGCATGGCCATGCGTACCAAAAAATTAAAGCCTATTTTTCGGATTAGAGTAATCCGTTTTTATATTTCCCCAAGCAACCCTAGTATTTTCGGATTCCACACCCACGTTTCCCGTATTTTAGACCACCATGCTATCCATTCCCGCATTATAAGAAATCCGAGTTTTTATCACTTTGAGTACTCATAGTCAATTATGACTATAGGTCTATAGGTCTATGATTATAAGAGTTACTTTCGCAAAAAATAAATAAAATAAAAGTGGAAACAACAAACTAAAAAGTGTAATAAAAGTGATTTGCTCACAACAATTTAAACAATTCAATGGAAGTAAAAGAAATACGAAGACAACTTTAGAAAATGTCACAAACATACACTCCGTATAATAGTTAGGAGACTAAGGGCTAGTTTGGAAGGGAGATTTCGGAGGAGAAGGAAGGGGAGGGTCATATTCACATTTAAAATAATTGTTACATTTACAAAAATTGGAATAACGTGAAAACAAAATAGTATATAAAAATACTCTATTTAACAAGATATATACTCTAGCTCCGTAGTTATTTGTAGTCTAAAATTAACAAGTTTAAATAAATTAATGAAGTAAAAAACCAATCATCTCCTTTCATCTCCTTCGAAATTCCCCAACCAAACTGGCCCTAAAGGATGTTAAGGTGACATTAACTCCATTCAATTTCTTAAAAAGTAAATGCCTAAGCAGAATCAAAACATTGGAGAAATTGTTCCCTTGATTAAAAAAAAAACGGAAGATCTGATAGAAATATAATACACATTTTCTTCAAAAGAAAAAGAAAAAGGAAACCTAAAACAAAAATGAAAAAGAAATGGAATACAAATGTTTGTGAGCCTGTGTCACTTGCTTTTCAGTTTAAACTAGTTTATTACCCGTGCGATGCACGTGAATAATTACCTTAGATATAAAAATAACTTTATTTTGAAAGATATCATATTATGACACATATTAATCTATTGTGAATTAATAATATAAAACATACTAAATATAAGTAATTGATCTCAAAACATAAAAATATGTAACTTTACGTGTAAATATATGTAAGTCACGTTCAGGCATGTCAAATGCAACTCGTGTGTATATATATGTAACTTGCTTATAAAAAGATATAACTTGCTTATAAAAAGATGTAACTCGCTTATAAAAAGATGTAACTTGCTTATAAAAAGATGTAACTCGCTCATAAAAAGATTTAACTCAATGTATTATCAAATGTAACTGAGGTCACTGATCCACTCCCAAACAGATTCGATCTTCTATTTCACAAACCTATCATCTCCCAAACAGATCCGATTTTCCTTATAATCCAATACTCATTAATATAATAGTTCGATAATTTCTTAAAATTACATAAGCAATATTGGTCTCATTTGAAAGATAATGAAAAATAAAAAATGTTGATATAAATTTTATAAAAATCGGATCAAAAATAAAAAAGTTATTATCATTTTTTAACAACAAAAGCAAAAAAAAAAATAACAGCATGCTGCGTCGTTTTGCAACCGGGCGCACCATCCTCATGGTGCGCCGGTTGCACGGTATAATTTGCCTACAAGGATGAATAATAAAAAATAAAGTTTCAATGATGTAATGAAATCAATATATTTAATTTAAAAGAACTAGAAATATTTATTTAATTTAAGTCTTAAAATAAAGATATTTATTAGAAACACAGGTTAGGCAGTGTTATTCAAACCTCTTTTCAGAATATTCTAAGGATATATTACAGAGTGAACATTCAATAGTTTAATTTGATGATAATGGAATTTTTCTTTAGGTTCTCTCTAGGGTGATTTTTCGTCGCTAGGATTTCTTCTCCGCTATCGACTCTACCGAGGAGCGGCCGTCTCGCCTAGGTTTAGGGGTCGTTTTCTCCGCCTCCGTCTTTGACAAAGTGCGGCATTCTTGTACGATTTTCGTTCTCCATTCATGAGGCTTTCTTCTTCAGCATGACGCGACGTCTATATCGCGGCCAAAGGTTGTACACCACTAGCAGTAGGTGGAGAATTTCGACGATGCCGTTCATGGTTGAGATCAGAAGGTCATGGACGAAGCGTGAGACTAGAGTCTGGAACAGATCCGGATTTGAGGCCATCCGTGTTAGGCGAGCAGCTGTAGGAGCTACAGTACTGCTGGACCGTCTCCCTCTTGAATCGCGAAGTGCATGAGAGTCTAGCTAGGGTTTGGAAGCAACATTTTAATTTTAGTGTTTGCTTGCTATTTATTTTTCATTATCAGACTCATTACTTTTCTGTTGGTTATTTTTTATTGTTGTAAGACTCTTGCATTAGGATTGAGTGATGAGAGACCTACTTTTATCGTCGTTGGCTCATTTAAGCCCATTGTTATAGGATCAACGAGTCATATTGCATTTTTGAAGGTGATTGACTCTAAGTCTGGTTCGATGTCTGACGGTTTCCTGTGATCCTTTTATCGTTTTACCCCAATCTGAATGTTGTGATATCAATTTAAGTCATTTTCTTTCACAAAAAAAGAAACACAAGGTTAGGCTAAACATTAAGCAAATACACAGTATATGGCCGGAAACAAGGAGTTAGGTAAAATTTAGGTAACATTTGACAACTATGGACTGAGCCTCGATCAAATTAAACGATGTAAAAGTTTTTAAGGAGATGTGAACTATTTATTTCGATCATGTGTTACATGTACAATACGTACCCTTACATTTTAAGGAGAACGTTCCAAAAACTAGATTTCCTGAAGTGTACAAAGCCTAACTTGCTGAAAAATGATACAACAAATGAGTTAAAGAAGTATAGCAAGGCGGGCATAACTATTTGAACAGGCGGAAAAGTTGGTGAGCCAAGAATTTTTTAGGTGCATGGAGACATCCCTTTGAATAAACAGATGACTATTTGAGTGAAGAAAAATAAAAAACTTGTAGCATTGAAGTTTTCCTTGACAGTTAAGGCACGAAGAGGCGAAGAGAGGTGGAGATGGAGGAGATAGGCTTTTTGGGTATGGGAATAATGGGGAGAGCTATGGCCATGAACTTGCTCCACCATGGCTTTAAGGTCACTGTTTGGAATCGTACTCATTCAAGGGTAAATATCATCTTTCTATAATCCTAAATCTATCGATATATTGTTGGTAACACATGGGTTCCATCCTGTCAAGAATAATCCAAAATCTTATACAGTATTTTATTGTTTTATAGTTTTGCGATGTGAGACAAATACTTTAACACACCCTCTTAGTCTGAATCAGGTTGAACAATATCGGGATGTATAATTGGATCAAATAGACCCTTAACAAGCTAACCTTAATCATGGATGTTAAACAAGCAGTCAAACCACAACCGGACTTAACTCTGATATCATGTTAAGACTCAAGGTTTCAACCTAAAAAGTCAACCTAATAGAAGGAGTAACTCAAAGTCTTATATAGTATTTTATTGTTTTAAGAGGAATACTTTAACAATTACCAATCAAACTCGGTCAGATATTAACATACTCCGTAGTATTGTGAGTGGGTGACGTTGATGAATTGAAGATGTACTTCGATTAGCTACATACTCCGCATTTTGGAATGGCCACTAATGAGCTGAGTAATGATGAGCCATGAATCCATGATCATGATGTGAGTATGGGACGTGAGGATGAAGGCTAATGGCAACCGAATCTATTAATAAATCTAATCTCCCATTAGGATTGGCGGGTGTAATACAATGGATGACCATCCATCCTCAAGTCTCTCCTTTGTGAGAGGTCTTGGGTTCAATTCCCATCAAGGGGAGTCGGGGAGATGAGGGAAGTCTTGCTCCCAATGATTCTTCCTACATTCACGGAGTTGCTCAACGGCTGAGAAGGGAGATGATGGTAATGGAGGTAGCGGGTTCGTGTGGTGGGAGGAGCAACCTGAAAGGTGATGTAAGTCCTGCTGGATTCGTCCTGTGGAGCCAGTACTAACGAGACTGTGATCAGATCCGAATTTAACTGTCTAAGGGCTTTGGAGGGTAGTTCATAGACTCCAGGATTATGGGAGCGTAAGCCCCAACACATGAATTATCAAAAAAAAATCTCCCATTATACACACACACAATTAAATGCCAAATCCTTTCTTTTTTTTATTAAACATCATTTATATGAAAATTTATTTTTTACAAATAATTATGATTTAAAAAGTCAAACATTTCGATATAAAAATAAATAACTTTGGAGTTCAATTTTTTCCTTATAATTCCAGACCTATTTTGTAAAAAAGTAACAGTAAAAAAACGTTGGATCTTTATTTTAGCTCTGAGACATACTACATATTTAAGAAAAGTTTTGTGTTTAAAAATCTCTAGTAATTGATTTTTTTTTTACTTTATATATAGCATATTGGTGTCATATGATAGATCATAAAAGGTTATGAATTTTAATATATTTTTTTTATATAAATCATATTATAAGTAAAAAAGTTATGATACTTTAAAATAAATTACGTTTTTTTAATGAGCCTATCTTTGCTTCACCCGCGCGGAAAGCAAGGAAATAGCAGACACCTTCCCCCTCCATTCATTCCTCTGCGCACGTAATTTTGGTGTCCCATCTGTGCATGTGTGTCGAATGAGGCGAGAGTCAATATGGCATTGTGGAGGACACATCTCACTCCCTTCGATTTCTTAAAAAAAAGGATGACACCCCCATTCGATAGGGGCCTTAACCCCGATCGGACGGTACGTTGAAAGGATGTAAATTAGACTATAATCCCAATCTGACAGATAGAGAGTGGAGCTCTGTTCCTAGTACTTGCAGAGACCCTATGCATTTTTAGCATAGTAACCTCTTATCGCAGTTGCCGGGATTTGAACACGGAACCTAATCCTTGTGACACTCTCTTCCTACCAGTTGAACTACGTCCACCAGTATTCAATTCCTTGTATTCATTTTGAGACCTTGGTATACAAAAAACTGGTTGGATTGCATCTAATTTGGAGCGAATATCTTTCATTTGGGGTTTTCACCCTTCCCCAATGCGGACAACCGAAGTGTTGGGGGAATAACTCTAAAATGACTTCCAAAATGAACTTTCATAGTTAAGACGCGTTAGACGTTGTCCACTTGTCGTAAAAAGTTAATTTCTGACGTTTGGTAATATTTCATGATGTAAGTAGGCAGTTGCTCTTCCATGCTAGAACGGTAACAAAATAACGTTGACAAAAAGAAAATATAATAAAAAGTAAAGTGAGAAAAATATCTTTAATGAAAAAAGAACGATTAAATTAAGAAACGCATAAAAAGGAAATGAAATAAAAATATGGGAAGAAAAAATGACAAAAAATCTGTCCGGAAAGGAAATTTTACAAAAGAAACTCTTATAATAGAGTGAGAATTAAAATATCAAATATGGAAAAGATATAAAAAAGGATGGAAAACGGATTTAAAAAATGTCTAGGAATCAAAATAAAGACAAAAATTTTAGGGTGACGAACAGAAAAAATATGGGACTATTTTGATCAAATTTGTGAAAGGTAAGATTATTTATGTAAGATTTCCAAAAAAAGACAAAAAACATGGTATAATATGTCATCAACTTGTCAATGACCAATGAAAGAAGATAGACTGCAAATGTGAGATTATTATAAACGTGAGATTATTATTAGCAGATTGATCAAAGGTGGGATAATTGTTGTAAATTTTTCAATTCATAAATGCAGTGTGATGAGTTAGTGAAACATGGAGCTTCATTGGGAGAATCTCCGGCAGCGGTAGTTAAAAAATGCAAGTATACGATTGGAATTGTGTCCGACCCTTGTGCTGCACTCTCGGTTTGTGAAGAGACCACCGATCAACATCTTGAGATAGCTTTTTCGATCTAATTCTTTCTCTTTTGGGGTAAATTGAGTACATTTTTTGTGTGTGTTTTGACTTCTAATTAGGTTGTTTTTGACAAAAACGGTGTTCTTGAGCAAATATGCGACGGAAAGAGTTATATACATATGTCGACTGTTGATGTGGATACTTCTTCAAAAATAAATGAGGTATGAACTACATTCAATCCACTTATTTCCACATCTCAAAATTTTAACGAGAAAATTCTTTAAATAAAAGTATAGTTAAGTAGTGTCAAATTCAAAAATAAGAGTACTATATTCCGGCCGGAAAGAGGAGTAAACAAAAAGTGCAATGAATACAGGTAAAAGTGAGTGCGAATGATATCACCCGTTAAGTCATTTTTTTAATCAACCCCTGCCTATATATATATATTATTTTTAAACAATATATATTGTGTAAAACGAGATGTGCAATGTGCATGCAAGAAACTAAGTGTGTTGGAGAAAAGGCACATGATATTAATCCCGGAGGTTGTTTTAAACTTTGGTACTCGGGAAGGGAGAGGAACAGAAATGGAGTAGGCATTATGGTGGCACATGATTATGTTGACGGTGTGGTTGAAGTCTTTAGGAAGAACGATAACATCATGAGCATTAAATTGATAATAGGGAATGAGATCGTGTTTGTGGTAAGTGCCTATGCACCACTGGTGGGATTGGATGCATCTATCACTCAACAATTTTGGGAGGATCTTGAGGAAGTGGTGCGACGAATGCCAAGGGGAGAAAAGCTGGTCATAGGAGGCGACCTCAACGGGCATGTGGGCCCAAGTCGTGATGGTTTTGAGAGTATCCATGGCGGACATGGTTTTGGCACTAGAAATGAAGCGGGGAAGAACATTCTGGATTTTGCCTCGACATATGAGTTGGCTGTGATGAAGACTTGGTTCAAGAAAAGAGACTCTCACCCTGTCACCTATAGAAACGGAGCTAATAGTACCCAAATTGACTACTTTTTAGTACAGACGACTTGGAGAACTAGCTACACTGATTGCAAGGTTATCCCAGGTGAGAGTGCTCTCACTCAACATAGGATGCTTATGCTTGATTTTCGAGGTAAAAAGAGGAGACACGTTAAGGTACAAGGGGAGCCAAAGATAAAATGGTGAAGGCTCTAGGGGAATCTGCAACAAAGTTTTGCACACAAAATGTTAGAGGAAGATGTATGGTCTATTGATAATGACGCACATGTGGATGATGTGTGGTTATCAATGGAGTCCACCATTAACAAAGTGGCGAAGGAGATACTCGGAGAATCTAAAGGATGTCTGCCACAAAAAAAGGACATGTCTTGGTGGAATGATGAGGTGAAACAAGCAATAAGGATCAAAAGGTAATGCTATAAGAAATTGAGAAAAAGTTGGAGCGGCGAGAAAATAGAGGAGTACAAAGAGGCTAGAAGAAGAGCAAAGAAAGCTGTGAAGGAAGCCAGATGAAAAGTGAACAAGGAATTGTATATAAAGTTGGACTCTAAGGAAGGTGAAAAAGATATCTACAGACTTGCTCGCCTTCGTGACTGTAGGATTCAAGATATCAGAAAAGTTAAGTGTGTGAAGGATGTCGATCAAAGGGTACTAATGGACGACGAAGAAATAAAAGAGAGGTGAAGGTCATACTTTGATACCTTGTTCAACGGGAATAAGTGCAAGGTATTGATGATCTTACTATACCAGAGTGTATGGTAAATCGGGACTTTGTGAGAATTGAAGGATTCAAACAATAGAAGTTAAAGAGGCTATGAGAAAAATGGGGCGGAAGAAAGCAGTGGGCCCAGATGGCATACCGATCGAGGCTTGGAGAAGTTTGGGAGAGAAAGGCATCGAGTGGCTAACACGTTTCTTCAACATGATTTGGAGAAACAACAAAATGCCAGTGAGTTGGCGGAAGAGTACTCTCATTCCCTTATTTAAAAATAAGGGTGATGTACAAGAATGTGCTAACTATCGAGGGATTAAGCTTATGAGTCACACCATGAAACTTTGGGAGCGAGTGGTTGAGCAAAGACTTCTTAAAAGTGTGAAAATTTCGGAGAATCAATTTGGTTTTATGCCTGGACGCTCAACAACTAAGGGTATTCACCTTCTTGTCGTGTTCATTGACTTAGAAAAGGCATATGATAGGGTACCTCGAGAAGTTCTTTGGTGGACCTTAACTAGAAAAGGCATATCACGTAAGTATATCTGTATCATCATGGATATGTATGATGCTTGTACTACAAGTGTCTGCACTAGTGTAGGGAGGACCGCAGAGTTTCCTATTACCATCGGAGTGCACCAAGGATCTGCTTTGAGTCCTTTCTTATTTGCTATAGTCATGGATGAACTTACAAAGTCAGTTCAAGAAGATATACTGTGGTGCATGATGTTTGTCGACGATATTGTATTGATTGATGAGACACAATCTGATGTTAAAGCAAAGTTAGAAGTATGGCGACAAACATTGGAGACCAAGGGTTTCAGACTGAGCCGAAGCAAGACTGAGTATATGGAGTGCAAGTTCGATGGAGGTAGAAGTAGTAGCAACAGTGGGATTACTCTTGATGGTAAGGAGATACCGGTGTGTGATATGTTCCGTTACTTGGGTTCCATAATTCAGAAGGATGGTGAATTAGATGGAGATGTATGCCATAGAATCAGAGCTGGGTGGATGAAATGGAAGAGTGCTTCAGGATTTCAATGCGATCGAGGTATGCCGACTAGATCGAAAGGTAAATTTTACCGTACAACAATTAGGCTGGCATTAATGTATGATGTAGAGTGTTGGGCGGTGAAGCAATGCCACATTCAAAAGATGAGTGTGGCAGAGATGCGTATGTTGCGTTGGATGTGTGAACATACCATAAAAGACCGCTTGAGGAATGAAGTAATCAGACAAAAGATGGGAGTAGCACCTATAGAAGATAAGATGCAGGAGTCTTGTTTGCGGTGATTTGGGCATGTGCGTAGAAGACCGAGTTAGACGACTTGGGGGTGGGGAGAAGAGGCAGAGAAGAGAGGGAGGGGAAGATCCAAACAGACTTGGATCAGAGGAATCAGAACTGATATGTGTCTTCTTAGGTTGGATGAGAGTATGGTTTTGGAGAGAGCAAAGTGGAGGACGCACATCCGTGTGGACGATTGCTATCTTTTCTACCTTTCCTCTCTTTTCTCTTTTATCGTTTATCTTCCTTATATTTTTATATTCTTATGTTATTTTTATCTTCTAGCTTTTTTATGCTCTTTTATTTTTTATCTTTTATGTTTCTCATATTCTTGTGTTATTGTTATCTTATATTTATTTATCTTTATCTTATTCATTTTATCTTACTTTTTATTCTTCCCTTTCTTGTCCATCTTTTCTTTTTGGCATTGATATCATTGATAGATTCATGTTAGCCGACTCCAAATTCTTTTGGGATTAAGGCTTGTGTGTTGTTGTTGTACTTGTTTCTCAAGCATGGCTAAATCAAACTCTTATAGTTTAGGAAAACCCATATCCCCATGCTTTTTGTCAGGCATAACTCATCCAAGCACTTCCATCTTATACCTTTACCCTTGAAAGCTTGTCCCCTCCACCAATAAGCATTCATAATTCGCTCTATTTCATTGCAAATACCAGCTGGAAGTAGAAACACGTTCATTGCATATGAACAAGATAAGTAAGTAGATCATATATTTAGAAAAATATTCATATATTAAAACGTGTTTTGTCACACAAAAAAGTCTCATATAAACAAAATAAACTAATTTTAATTAGGGAAAATTTGACTTTGCACCCTACGTTTTGGGTGATATTTGACATTGCACTCTATTTACAGAATCATTAATGTATGCACCTCAAGTCACTATAAAATCATTTTACTTTGCACCTCACTCCTTCACAATTTTGGGCTCCTATGATACATACATTAATGATTTGAAAATGAGGTGCAAAATCAAATATCACTTAAAACATGGATTGCAAAGTCAAATTCTCTCTTTTAATTATGTTTAATCAATTATTTATTATAAAGTGGTGCAAATAAGTTTAATGTTAGATTTTGTAAAACTAACAAATCAACTAAAAATGTAGCCGGAATTGATATAGGCAGTTATATCTAGAGACGGTACTTTCCTTGAAGCTCCGGTCTCGGGCAGCAAAAAGCCTGCTGAAGACGGGCAATTGGTTATCCTAGCTGCTGGGGATAAGGTAAACATGTATGTTTGCCATATTTGAAAGTGTCCGTCGTCAATTATATTCTTCTAGTATTTGGTGAATTTGAATGTTTCCTTTTCCTACTTATTATTGTAGGATTTATATAGCCAATTGCTTCCAGCTTTTGATGTCTTGGGAAAGAAATCATTTTTCTTGGGACAGGTTGGAAATGGTGCAAAAATGAAACTTGTTGTGAACATGATAATGGGCAGGTAACAAAAGTTGTGTTATACCTGCTTAGCTCTAATGGACAACTCATCATTGAAATGTTAGCCTCATTTGAACCACACAAAAGGTGAGGTGCAAATAGGGTACACAACCGAGTTTTCTGTCGTGCTATTCAAGACATATTATGCCTTTTTAAGAGCATCTCAATGCAAGAGTTTCTAGTTTAAATAAAGTGTGCCAATTATCAAATAAATAAAAGACTATTTAATCTAAACAATACATAATGGATTGATTGTACCCTTTGTACATTGGAACATTAAGAACTCCTCCATTGCATATAGTCTGTCAGTGCAATTTAAATATCTAAGTGAAGTACATTATTTTAATTAAATAAAATAAATTATCTATTCACATACCCCCGGTTCTGAAAGATCTTTACACTTAGACTTCACACATATTAAGGAGTTTGACACTGTTTGGCATTATTCGACACTGTTTGGCACTGTTTGGTATAGATTTGTAAGGCAAATAAGAAGTGTAAAGATAATTGTGGTACTGCCAAAAAGGGTAAGTGTAAAGATCTTTCAGAACCGGACGGAGTATTAAATTAGTTGTTTCTCGTAAGGGATTTGGCCTCCCTGGACTGCTTTGGCTATATATACTACTCCCTCCGTCCCACAATGAACTTCACAGTTTGACCTACACACATATTAAGGAAATAAACTTACCATGGGGTAAATTTTACTGCTTTGACACTGTTTCAACACTGTTTGGCACTGTTTTGCGCTGTTTTGCATTGTTTTGACACTGTTTTGATATAGATTAACATGCCATTTAAGGAAATGAGAACTTGTTTATGAGACATCTAAAAACGGAAAATGAGAAATTCATTGCGGGACGGAGGGAGTATATATATACTCCATATAGTATTTTGGTAGACTTCACTTTTTCTATAATTTGTTAAGTCAGCAAGGTCATAAGGCTTTCTACATTTGAAAAGTCTCCCTCACACTATTCAATTATTTTTCCCAACTTAGCAAAGACTAGACCCATTGAAGAGAGTACAAGACACACAATATCTAATTTTACAAGTTAGCATAATTTATCTACACTAGAATATCTTGCATTGGGGATGTTCCAAGCCACAAAATTAAAAATAAAGTTAAACTAATTATCATTGGCAATCCAAGACCAAAATTTTAGAAAGTCATATATGACTCATTTATGGAGTCACGTAGGCCAGGTTGACATCACATTCACCACTCATTTTTTGTGGGCAACTCTCATGTAAAAAATGTGTAGTGATTGTGATGTCAACATGACTTATATGACTCTATAAAGAAGTTACATATGACTCTTAAAAACTTTTGGTATTCGGGACATATTCTGATTTTTTAAGTTACAAAATAAAAGGAGATTACATTTTTAGGGCCCTAAATTTTTAAATTGTTTTCACTTTTTTTTAATCAAAAAACAGTATTTGTTACTCTATTACAAGCATACTTCGTATTTCTTTTCAAACTTCATCATCTTTTAATATTAATCACTTAACTATAATCTTGAAGCAAGCTGAAAGATTCTTTTAGCCTAGTCTTTCTTCTCGGCTCATAGCCTCATATCATAATACAAATTCGGCTAGGGTCCATGTCTATATACTCCATTATGTTGATAAACAAGGGTTGGTGGGTGTAGTCCAATGGATGACCATCCATCCCCAAGTCTCTCCTTTGTGGGAGGTCTTGGGTTCAATTCCCACCAAGAGGAGATGAGGGAGGTCTTGCTCCCAACGATTCTTCCTACCTTCACGGAGTTTCTCAGCGGCTGAGAAGGGAGAGGATGGTAATGAAGGTAGCGGGTTCGTGTGGTGGGAGGAGCAGCTTGAAAGGTAATGTAAGTCCTGCTGGATTCGTCCTTTGGAGCCAGTACTAACGAGGCTGATTGTGATCAGATTCGGATTTAAATGTCTAGGGGCTTTGGAAGGTAATTCATAGACTCCACAATTTGGGGAGCGTAAGCCCCGACACACCTGGATTATAAAAAAAAAGATAAACAAATCCTGATTTTGGATAATAGATAGGGACAAAGGACATTTTACTTATTTTGCTTGATTGTTCTCTATTGTGCTGCAGCATGATGACAACATTTGCAGAAGGACTTGTGCTGGCTGACAAAAGTGGATTGGATCAGCAAACTCTCCTGGACGTGTTGGTCAGCCAGCAAATTGATAGAATTTTTGCAAGAAATATGCAATAAGAAAGATATTTTCCGATTTTCTTTTATGTTTTTCTTTGTCCAGTTTTCTTTTTTGAGTTTTCAGTTTTTTTGTTCTTCAACTTTTTGTTTTCATTTTCCAGTTTTTCAATTTTAAATCTGAAAATATGTTCATCAAATTTTTTCACCCAGATCTGGAATCGGTCAGAAGATCGAAAGTACGGTCCCGGTCCGAAACCGGGCATGGTATCGCCCAAATAGGAAAGTTGGGATCGAAAACGAGCCGCCCCAATCAGTCCCAACGGCTAGTTTGGCAGTCTAATAGCTTTTGTGAAACTCTTAACTTTGAAAATTGATTTAAAAAAATGGGGACCGGACCGGGACTGTCTGAACGTCGATCGGACCGGACTGAGACCGTCTGGTCATCGATCGGACCGGACTGAGACCGTCTGGTCATCGACCGAACCGGGGCCTCCTAGTCGTCGACCAGACCGATACTATAGTGGGGCCCTTCTACCACTAGGCGCAAGTAGACAAATTCATTGCAGCTGCACTACAACGTTTGTGCATTCCAAATTTGGAAAACTAGTAAATCTCACTTCTCTAATTTATTAGGGAAAACAGAGAATATTTTTTTTTTCGTTTTGAAAATGATTTGGTAGATGCATTTTCCTTTCTCCAATTTTTTGATCAATTTTTTCAGGAAAAAGGTTTTCCTGTTTTCAATTTTTCAGATTTTTAGTTTTTTTTAAAAAAATTAGAAAATATCTCTGTTAATAAACAGCTCATAAGTTTGTGTTACTTAAAGGATTTGTTTTGGCAGGATGTTGGGCCTATTGCTAATCCATTGTTCAAGATGAAAGGGCCTTCCATGATAAAACACAATTACTCCCCCATGAGTCCTCTAAAACATTCACAGAAAGACATGAGGCTTGCTTTGGGCCTTGGGGATGAAGTTGGTGTTTCAATGCATGTGGCCGCGGCAACAGCTGAGGTATTTTATACAGACCATTTAGTTCTAATAAAAATTGGGGTTCATATGTAAAATATTTGTATCAAATATGTAAGTTACGTTATATTTATTACGTCGACATGAAGGAATTATATTCATGAGAACCCCTACTCAACTTTAAAGTAGTAAGAGTTCAGGCATTACTTTTGTTTCAAATAAGCAGATAATATTTGAACTAGAATATTCACTAAAATGCACGTACGTGACACATGATCATGCTTTGTTGCGGGGAGTGTAATTACAGGAAAAGTTAGACAGGAGATCATGAAATTATCGCTAGATTCAATGATGTAGTTTAAATTTATAAATAATACTCATGTATAAATTTTTCAAATCACATATGCATTATATTAGGGAGATATCACTTGATAAGTTCTCACATTCAAAATAACCTATAACATCAGAATTTAACTTTTATGTCACATAAATAAATTCTTATTGGTTATCTTTATTTACTTGTAATTTTTATAGTAAAATTGGGAATTGTTATATTGTGGGATCAGGCTCCGTGCATACAGTGCTCCTGTACAACATGGACGATGTTAATGTAGCTAAATTTTGTGTAACTTCTGATATCGAAATATTTGGTGTAACATATATGATAGAATAATATTCTAGAGAGTAGAGAAAAGTAAGAGCTAGAGAGAGAAAATATTTGCATTCAATGTTTTTCACCCCTCACAACTACACCTAGGGGAGTATTTATAAAGGAAATTTGGGTTGGGCTCCCAGGTCTTGAGCGTGGGAGGCCCGATTACAATGATGGGTCATTTAAAGCCTGTTTATACGAAGCTATTGTACTAAGTACGATGTGAAAGCTATATATTAAAGGTCATGGCCGAGGTGACCAGGTCGAGGAGGCCATGCTGAGGAGTCCGGGTCGTGATGAGTGTTCTTGATCTAATTTGTTTCACCCATGTCTTGAGTTCATTATTTCTGGAAATCTTCTGTGTGGTGGGACCTCGTCTGGACGAGGTAACCCAGCCAAGAGGTAGTCTAATAGCTTGCAGTCATGTTTGTGTGTCTATGAGTATGTGGGCCGTGGGTCTAGACCCATATACTCTATCAGGAGTCTCCCACTTTCTGAGCCAAGAGGTGTTGAGGTAAAAGGGAGTAGAGCATCTTGTGTTGTGCTTTTTGATGATTGTTTGTGTTTGGTCAAAGAGGCGTTGCATTTCTAGAAGGTGTGCTTTTGTTTCTTGTAGCTTGATGTTTTTGATTTTCCAGTCTTGGCCGAGGCATGATCTCTTGTACTCCAGGTGTCTTTTGCTTATATGGTTTGAGGTTTTGAATCTGTTTTTAAAATTTGTTGTTTTGGCCGAGGTGGAGTCCCCAAGTCCCCCACTCCATAAAGTCGAGAGAAGTTCAGGTTGAGGAGTAGGCAATGTGTTTGAAGTCGAGGTGCTACCTGCGAATGGGCCCGTGGATGAGGGTCGTTGACCGAAGGCCATCCCCTACGGGCTTCGTCCGAAGTGTGTTTCTCCCGTAAAAAAAAATCTCCCTTTTTATACATGTGAATGAGGTCGAGGGATGATCTTCTTAGCCGAGTTGAGGCTGTAGGGGTCTTGATGTTTTGGTATTCTGTATGCTGACCGAGGAGTGGTGTTCGTCATTGAGTCTTTGTTCAGAGACGAGGCATGATGAAGCGGTACTACCTGTTTCATATGGGCGATGTGTGCTTCACTTGTGGTAATCATTGCGCTGGTTCGCAGACAGTTGTGTTGCTTGTTGTGGAGGTGCCCACGTTGAGTGGTTGGAATTTTGGCGACCGCGTGTGTAACCACTGGGTGCGTGACACGTGTAGTGTCCGTTGAGGGGTACCTACAAATACCTTGCCTCCGAAGCATTCACTCTCACTTTTGCTTTGATTTGTGATGAATGATGGTCCCGGATAGAGGTAAAATTCTAGGGGGGGGGGGGGGTGAATAGACTTTTAAAGCTTTTTCAACTTTAAAAACTTTTCCCTACTAGATAGAGTGATCTATAACCTTTTGGGAGATTATAGATACACAACAGAATTCTTGACCTCTATATATGCAGTGTAAGACAACTTTCTATTTAAAGTAAGTTTCCTCTGGAAGTGGTAAATGAACTTGTGAGTTAAGATACCAATTAGATTAGCCTTATAAACTCTAAATAAGTCTTCTGGAAGATTTTCAATATGTTTGAACTTATTTAGGTGGGCAGATTGCTGAGCAGCAGGGTAGGCAACAAGCTGCAGCTGAGGTTGCTGCTAGGCTAAAATGTGAATTTGAGAAATCTGATTATAGGATCTTATTTAGGGTGATGAGAGCTTTCTGGAAATGTACTTAGCTGACTCAAAATATAAGTTTGTGCGGACAGTAGGCTGGGCAGCAGGCTAGAGGCCGCTGCTGGACAAAATGGTTGTTTTGAGAAATCTAACTTTACAGGCTTCTTTGGGATTGTTTGATGAGGCTATTGTAATATTCAGATGTTTTAAAGAAAGTGTATAGATGGGCAGCAAGCTGAGCAACAGGCTGAAGTGAGGCTGCTGTTGAGGCTGCTGTTGATGAAAGTTCACTTTCTTTAAAAAATGTTTTTGTCAGTTCAAAGCACTGGCCTTGACCTTTTTTTGAGTATAAGAGAAGTCTGATTGCATCAGTTTAATATTTTTGCTCTTCTTCTTGTATTCACTATCCAGTGCACTGGGTACACTGAAATGCTTCAGTATTAATGTAGTTTACTGTTTAGTTAAAACTCATTTCAAGTTTAAACTGAGGACTCAAAAGTATAAGCGTTTGGTGTGTGCTTTGTTGACTGTAAAGGAAATCAACACACAATATATACTGGTTCAGAGGTGATGTAATCCTCCTACATCCAGTCCCACCCTATTCCAGATGGATTTCAACTAAAGTATTAAGCCCAATACACTTAGTGCCAATCTAGCTTTGATCATGAAACTGGCCTAGATTGAAGGTGTTTCACAAGGAGTACACACCACTCCAAGTTACTCAATCCTTAGGTTTTCTCAATTGATCTAGTGGGGATCAAAGGTACTCTATCCTATCTCACGTTTTTCTCTAAGAATCAACACAATTCAGAGATACATGTTTACCCTGTTTACAATTGTCTAAGATTTACACAAGAAATCTAAACTCCAACTATGATCTAAACTTCCAGAATATAGCAATGAGAAATTCTTACTTGGAAGTTTAGTGAAGCATGAGTCTAAGCAGAGAGCAAAGTTGTACAAGCACTTTCTCTTTTGTTAGATATCTCTTGAATGCTTAGTGTGGTTTTTCTCTACTTAGAAGACTCAAAAGCTTATTTTTCGAACTCATGCCTATGCCTATATTTATAGGCTTCTCCAGTTGATTAATCTCATATGTTGGTTGAGATGAGTTAATCCTTGTCATTGAATATTTGGATCAGAAGAGAACATGTTGTAGTTTATCTTCTTGCGCTGGACCTGGTAAGGAAAATAATGTTGATTTTCCTTGTCTTCAATTTATGGACCGCTGATCTTCTTTGAATAAATCCGGAACATGAAATTGGTATCTTCAATTCAAGTGGGTCAGTAGAAGGTTGACCCCTTGTATTTAATGCCTTCTAGTACAATGTCCAGTCTAGGCTGTCAGTACTTTTGTGCATTAATTGGCCGGTCTAATATTGTCTTTAATCATATACTTGCAATGTATATGATCTTTTTCGTTGGAGTATACATTAGACCAAAAAGATAAAATGTGACATGTTTAATTTTTGTGTCACAAATCAAATTAATACTGGTAGGATAAAATATCCTTTTAAGCTAAATAGAAATTACCTTATTGCATATTTAATTTCCAGTATATTTTATTTGTTACAAAAATTGTACATTTGATTTTGTCACTTATAATTGCATTTTATTTTGTTTTGTTCTTAAAATTAATTACGTACTTTTTCTGTTTCTTTTGTTTTCTTCTTTTTAGTACGTTAATCAATTTTTGGACAATGTAAAATGGAGTCGCACAAAATAGAACAAAATGCACATGAACAAAGTATAGTGACATCATCAAAATTTATCACAAATGGGTCCTAACAATGAAGTACTGCCAAAATCTAGAGAGATGAAGTGTTATTCGCGCCTTCAAAACCTCAAAGGTCAGTTCTTCATTGGTTCTTCATAGTTTTTCTATACTTTGCTTTGTAGGGTGTTAGATCTAGTGGTAGCAAAAAATCCTCTCTAGATCCTAAGTCTCAAAATTCTGAATGTTATGTCTTCTCCTGATTCCTAAGATAGATTGGGATCTCCGGTTGTGACATTTGATCTCAAAGCCGAGGGACACTTCAACTTTGAGGAGGAGGACACAACGGAGAAGCCGAAGGTTACCCTGAAGTCCATGGAGGAATTTGGTGCGAATATTGATGAGATGAGTGAGTATCAGACCGAAGATGACCTTGAGGGATATGAAACTGAGGCTGCCACCATTCGTTCTTGAGGGGTTGGGAGGCTTCTACATCGACTAACTTTCATTGTTCAAATCTCATCGCTGCCGTCCATGGAACTGATAGGGTGGAGCAGGTGAAGACAGTAGGGAGCGTTTGCATCATCGGAGGGGAATGGGACCTGGGTTGTCCAGCCTCGACTCCCGAATGTCCTTATCATCCAGCCGGAGAATACGCTGAGTGATTTATGCGCGGCACAAATGTATGTCTGTCTGTACACGAGGGCCGGGGAGCCAAAACCGAAGGACAGTGTGTTGTCACCGCCTATAGGACACTTTGGAGTGTACCCCATTAGTTTTTCCAAGGAACTGCGGTTTCCTTTGCACATGTTCATGGTGTAGTTCAAATATACGTATCTTCAGTCGCCCCAACTGACGCCAAATAGCTATGCGCTAATGGCGGGGTTCTTTATCTGTTGTGATGAGTTGGGTATTACGCCAAGGCTTCGCCTATTTATGAATTTGCACAAAGCTGGTTGGGGCGGGCATGAGAACTACTCTGAGTTTATCAATTTCCAGAAGATGATGGGCCCAAGG